GGCCCTGCTTGTTTTCCCAGGGTGGGGTGGAGTGGAGGAGGTCAGGATGGGGTGGGGAAGCCAGCCATACATTTCAGAGCACAGGAAAGGAACAAGCTCGAGGAAGTAAAGCTCTTTAAACACCCTCACCCGTCCTGTTTGGGGATTGTGCCGCCAAATGCAACTCTGACTGTGGTCTCCCTTGATCCTCCCAACAGTCTGGAACTCAGGGCTGAGTCACTGCCTTCCCTGGGGATGAACAAAATGTCTAAGCTGACATGGGGACCCAGGTGGCCCAGGGTCTATCCACAGGGCACAGAATGAGGGCACCGTGCATGTACAAACATACGTACCTTGTATGGCCCGGACCCTTTTCTCTAGAAGCAGGAATGGAACGGAGTTCCTTAATGACTTTCACAGATAAAGTCTGGAGAGGAGTTGAGGGCAGACGCTGGTGCCGTGACTGCTACCTGAAGGGCTGGAAGCTTACACCATCAGTGGCTCTGTGGGAGAAAGGACCTGGCACTGTTTCCGTAAAGATTACAGTTTAGGAAACCCCATGAGGTAGTTCTGCTCTGCCCTATAAGGATGCTTTGAGTGGAATCAACTCAACCTCACATGACCATAGTGAACAGTCGGGGAAGATTCCATCAGGCTCCACGCACTAACCCGTTATCTTCCTAAGGCCTCGAAGACTGAGGTGGAGGGACCCTCCTTTACCAGCCTGCTGCATGGCAGCCTCTGGAAGCACCAGGATGCTAGCACTGAAGAGAGAGGGCTGACCCCACCCATCACTGTGGAGATGGGGAGACTGAGGCAGGAGCTGAAAGCAGGCCTTGGCCTCTTTAACCACGACTCCCTCGGCAGGGACAGCAAGGCATGGCCTGGGGGTGGATGCCACGACTGCTGCTTGTGGTCTGGGTAGCCACTGCGTGCAGCGCCCGGGACAGGACAGACCTGCTCAGCGTCTGCATGGATGCCAAGCACCACAAGGCAAAACCGGGCCCCGAGGACAAGCTGCATGACCAGGTGAGAATGGAGCGTGGCTGCAGGCCGAGCAGGCGGCTGGCTCTGACACAGAGAGGAAGGGAGTTCAGGGAGGAGGGGGAGGGGGAGCTGTCCCCCACATCTGAGTTATTACTGTGGGAGTGGAGGGCGGTAGGGTGGAGGGAGTGAGGTGGTCCTGGTGGCCTCCCCCAAAGGGGTCGGAGGTAACCAGCTGCTGTCTGGTCCCTTGTGACTCATGGGAACCTCCTATGTGTTGGAGCGGAACAGGGTGCCATTGCATTTCTAAGGACAGATACAGACGAGAGAAATGACTGTCACAGATGAGAAAGGTAACAGAAAGCCCATTTCTGTGGTTTCCATGCATTTTAGTAAATGCAACTTTCGGAAAAAACCCCAACAATAAAAGCAGAGAAACTAGAATAATGAACCCCAACACGCTAACACCAAGTCAAGCATGATCAAGGTTTTGTACCACTTGCCTTCTCTTTACCTTTTCTTTTTTTTTTTTGAGACTACCAGAAAGATATTTACTTGCGTTTCTTTCTTTTTTAATCATTTTGTTGGGGGCTCGTACAGCTGTTATTCTCTTTACCTTGCTTAACTGAAGTAGTGTTTGTTTGTTTTCATGAATATAGATACCTGCATATTTCCAAGCAGAGACTGTAATTGCCAGAGTGAGCCTCTCCACCGGTCTCTTTCTTGCCACGGTCACTAAACCAAACCGAACTCTACTGCCCGGAGGTGATTCCGACTCAGGGTCACCTCCCAGAGCAGGGCAGACCTGCCCCTGTGAGTTTCTGAGACAGGAACTCTTCCTGGCAGTGGCTGGTCGTTTTGAGCTGCGGTGGCAGCCCAACGTATAACCACTAATGCCACCAAGGCTCTTACCCACGGTGACTAAGCACCACTTTAAATGGCATTTGCTCCTTCAGCCTGGACTCCCGAGTGAGGAGACCTGACACAGAGGCCCCACTTCACCTTTGGCTGACCTTTAGAGGAGTCCTCTCTCCCCACAAAGGGTGTCTTCTTCAGCCACTTCAATCCCAAGATGGTGTGTTAGGGCTATATATTTTTAGCTACCAGACTCATACATCTTCTACATTAAGACTTTCAACCAATATTAGTCATGTTTTCATCATCCTTGGTTTTTCCACCAGAATTGCCAAGGTTATGGTGTGGAGTGCTCCTTAGAAGTGAGGATGGTGAGACTTCCCTCATGTACTTTGGACATGTTACCAAGACGGATCAATCCTTGGAGAAGGACATCGTGTTTGGTATAAAAAAAAGGGGGGAAAGACCCTGTGCAAATCCCTTCACTTCTGGGTCCCAACTTTCGCCTGGATACTCATAAAGGAATCTGATAACTATCAATTACACGCAGATGATAGTATGATCTTCACGACAATTTTCTGGTAAGGAAACTAAAGCTCACTAAGAATCAGTGTTTTTCCCCAAAGTTATGCAAGAGGTGGCATGGTCCCTGGGTCCCCTTGGCCAGAACTCAAAGTCTGGCTTCTTCTCTGCGGGGCCTTATCTTCATCAAGCTAACCTGACCCTAGGGCCATCTGGTTCCTACCTTTTTTTGATGCTCCCTTGGCAAGAAGACAGAGTGCAGATTTTGATGCGTGCCGGATGTGTGGACCCCGATGTGAGGGAAGGAACGGGAGATGAACGAAAACAAGAACAGAACAGACGAACGGCGCCTTGAAGGGGATGACGCCCGAAAAATTAGGGAAGGAAGAGTTGAAGACGAAGAGCTGAGTAAGGAAATCCCATTTTTGTGTTTATTAGAACGCTCAGTCTGTCCTTCCCCCAAAGACACCGCCTGGGGACCGTCCAGAGAGGCGCGGGGAGCTGTTACCAGCCTGTGCAGTGTGCTCAGGGCCGCAAAGGAGGCGCAGGCAAGTGCCCCCAGGAGGAGAGGGTGACAAGAGCGATGGGAAGAGGTGTGTGTAGGAAAAGGGCCTTTCTTTCTTTAGGAAAACCGGGCTAGTGGAGGGAGAAGTGTTTTTTTGGAAGAGGGAAGATCTAAAACCAAACACAGAGCCACAGGA